TATATATATATACGTACACAAATATTTTCTCTTTTCTGATTTGATACGAAGATAAACTCACTTTCAATGTGTTACACAAACTATTAGAAATGTGAATTTAATTAATTTTTTCCGAATAAATTATTATGAGAAACTTTTATTTATAATTATCCACCACTGTGGATAATGTTATACAAAAATATATATAAAATATAAATAGTTTCAATACAAAGTTATACACATAAAATATTAATAAGGATATTAACAGATTTCAATATTTTAAGAATAAACACATTTTGCTGTTTGTACTTAAGATTAAATGACCAACATTATTATTGTATAAAAGATCAAACGTACCTTATGTACCGAGTGTACGCATTAGAATGAAACGCATATTACAATAAAAAGTGATGAGTGCGCTTGCGCGGCCATCTATCGAGTGTCTCTGCGAATATTTCCATGAGATATAAACATATGTTAAATTTCTCTCAATTCAATTAAATCGATCGTTTAACCATGTTTTATAAAATAGTGATGAATTATAAGTACATTAATCTCGTGATATTACATTTCGCTTTGCATACTGGCATTAAGCAATTGAAGTTATTACAATTTACTAAAAGAGAAAAATTGAAATATTTTCAATCAATTGTTAATTTAACAGAACGGAAAAAGACAATAGACAATTTCTTATTTTTCATGGTCCAATGTACTTCAGTATTGACAAAGATGATTTGCCTTGAAACGAAACACTTCAGGCTCAATAGATTTCTTTTGCTCGCGATTGGTTTATGGCCTCACCAGAGATCGAAACTTGCTCAAATTCAATTTATCGTACTTTTCACTATTTTAACAACTTTTATTGTATTTCAGGTGGTATTAAATAATTTTTCATAAGAAACAATAATTAACAGACTAGAATTCGAAACATATTAATCACGGTAAGGAATTATTCATTTAATATGAAATTTTCAACAGAATTACTTATTTGCAGTTTACAACGTTTTTAACTTCAAAATGCACTGCAGATCTCATTATGAATGTTCTGTCTTCCGCATTTTTATTCATTTTCTATGCGATTAAATATCATTCGTTTTGGATTAACGCCAATACGGTAAGTCAAATATTTATTATACAATTTCCAGACAAATATTCGTGATAAATAAATCT